CGGGACGGAGGAGGCGGCTTCCCGCCCGGCACGCTCGGAGAACCGGGATGCATCCGACCCCCGCGGCGGCCGGGGGGTCCTCGAGGCTCCGCCAGCGCCGGGGGCGTTGGAATTAGTGAATGAAAGCCTGGAAAAGGCGGGATTTGCATTCCTGGGAAAGCCGCCTCCGCTCGGAGGCAGCGCGGCTGGCAGACCAGGGCTTTTTCTGGGAGAAACGCCTGCTTTCCGTCAAAACCCCGGGATTTGGGCGGTTCCCCGCTGCGGAAAAGTGGGATCCGGCTTCCGAGCCCCAAGGAGCCGCATGGGAATCCCTGGCGCGGGGTCGGCTCCCAGGCCCCCGCGGCGGCCACCGAGCGCCCCGATTCCCCGCGTGCCGCGAGCCCGGAGCGCGTTCCCTGGCATCCAGCACGGATAATGGGAACCAGAGCTGGCTCCCGGCCCCGCTGAGTCAACGCGAGCCGCCGCGTTGGGAAACACGGGCTGGGAACGGGGCATGAAAGAAATTCCAGGCAGGGCTTTTTTTTATTATTATTATTTTTTTTTTCTGTTATTTTTTTTCTTTCGCAGCAGCATTTCGAAATTGGAAAAACATGAAGGGAGTAAAAATAGAAACGGCAGCGGCAGAAACCTCAGGCCTCCAAAACTGCTGCCGGCCCCGAGCCGCCCTCCCCGGAGCCTCGTCCCGCCCGAGGGCTGAGCCCTTTTTTCTGGGATCGGGAATAAGGCAGGATCCGGTGACGGAGAGATGAGTCCTGCAGGGCGGTGACAGGCCCGCGTGGAAGGATCTCTTGCGACACGGTGTCCCAGAGCAGCAGCGGGAAAGCTTTTCTCTTTCTCCTCCTTTCCCTCGAAATTCCCGCCCGGATGAAGCCGGATGAGACACATTTTCCGTGCTCCGGCTCTCCCTGCGCTTTGCGAGGTCCCTTTTCGCGGTCCCCTCTCCCGGTTTCCCATCGCGTGAGGGATGCAGCATGAATCCCCCCCCAGATCCCCCCTGGAGAGGCTGCAGACGGAAGGCTGCGAGTTTTCCCTGCGTTTCTTTCCCTTGAAACACATTTTGGGCCGCGTTTCCAGGTAATCCAACTCCGCTAACGTCAGCAGCGCCGACCACGCGGCTGGAAAATCGCCGTCATCGGAATCGCGGAGCGGCCGCCGGCTGCATCCCGCGTCCCTCTTAAAGCGAGACGATTCCCTGCCGGCTCCTGCCTCGCTCCAGCCTCTCCCGGCTCCGGATGCG